ATGATCAGTATGAGAAATGACTGCGTTGAAACACTGCAAATTGTATCTGGTGTGATATGTACTGTTATAGAAACAGGTCATAACTTAAACTCACTATGTCTGAAAATGTTTTAATATAACAATGAAGTGTGGGCTGATAAATTAAATATTATATTGAAAAATTCTAAATCACAGTTACCCATATAAAAGTTAATTTTAAGTATTTAATTCCCATTCTCCTCATATATATTCTTGCTTAGATCATTTTTCATCAACTATTGAAGCTCATTAGTAGTTGACTGTTTTGATTTCTGTTTGCATAGTGAATCATCTTCAGATGGACTCAAGGAAAAGTTAATTAATGTGAATACTTTAAATGTTCTCTAATATTTATCCTATAGGTGCACAGATGCTTTTCTGTATGAGGTGTGAAAACTATGTAGAATAAAACATTTAATAATTCGATTTTTCCTTGTATGTTTTTTTTTCTGAAAGATTCCAGTGAGCTAAGCACCAGTATTCTCTTATGCTTCAGGCTCAGTGCTATGTTACTCTAATATGACACTGACCAAATATATCCACTCTATATGAAAAGAGAAAAGTTAACTGTCAAAATTATACATTTAGTGTTACAGCTATTAAACTCCAAAATCAGTTTCTGGGTTTAAAACATAACCTTTTGAACAGCTAAAAAATATTTTCATATGTAAATATACGTTTTATTTTTTGATAATCACTTAGCTGTTGCAGAAATTTGTGTTTTTTTAAACATGGATATATTCTTGTCTCAGTACTGAGTTCTTCAGATTGTAATGCAGAAGTTCAAAGAAAAAAGCTCTCTAATCCTTTGGGGACACAGAAATTTGTAAACAGGACAAGAAGTAACACCTCCCAAAATTATATCTTGAAAAATCTTTATGATGGAAAATTTCTAAGCCCTTTGGTGGGTGGGGCTACATGACTTCAATTCCCATGGAAAATTCTTTAAATTTCAGTTGCAAGTCAAGGAGGAAAGATTTTTGTTTCCCTTTTGTTTTTCCTGATAACATGTTGCTGATATCACCTGAGGGGAACTAGTTTGCCAAAGATGCCCTTCCTTTTTGTTCAAGACGAGAGAAAAAATTAGAACGAGCATTAGAGTGTGACCAGACACGGAATAAACCTACTCCATATAAAACAGAAGAGTGTCATCACTAGAATTGTTAAGGAATTGGTTGACATAAGTGAGATTTAAAAATCTTTTATTTCACTTTCATAGGGGCTTTATAATTAAACTCTAGAATTTAAACTGTGGCTGCTGTGATCAGTGATGAGAGAAGCAGTGAAATAACAAGCATGAAGCCTGTAGAATAGGACATGATGCATAGTAAGCATCCACTAAAAACAGCAGGTATTTAAAAATAATCAGAATTTTGAAGTGGGGTACAAAGCAATGATTCTTGTATGTTTAATGAAATTAATATTATCTTTAAATTCTCTCTATAAATTAACTTCAAATCAACTTTGAATTTTCAGGGAATGTCTTCAGAATCCTGATGTAGAATTATGGAATTCTATCCTTTTTATTCTTAACAATGTATAACATAGATTTTACCATATCTACAAACACATATCAGCCAACTTCATAAGAATGGACATTAAGGTAAGAATGACACAAGTCATAGAGTGGAGTATTCCAAGTTAAATGTGTTCACTTATTCCCTTAAATGTGTTTGATGTTTATGAATAAATATTGCTAGTTTCCTGCTTAAGAAAGTTCAGGGAAATTAAACATCTGGAGCCTTGCACTCTGTTAGTGCTCTCCATGGTTTAGTGTCTCCTTTAAGTCAGATGAATAACCAAGACACCAGAAGAGGTTTCAGGTATCCTCTGGAATGAACTCCAGTGGAAACATAGAAATGATATTACAGCCCATCCAATTCCAGAAATAGCAGGATAATGACAATTAAAGTATTTGAGACAGGCATCAGAGCATCAGTGAAAGCTGAGAGAAGGTACCAAAATCTTAGGGGTTCATAGTTTCGAGATTGTCATGTAAAGGCACATTCTTTTTTTTTTTTAATTTTATTTTCCAGTTTAAATTTAGATAAGAATCAAGGTTGCTTCACAAGTCAGTTCCAGGTCTCTCTCCCATTCCCTCCCTACCTCCCGTACCCTCCCCTCCCCCCGTTATCCTCTCATTTCTCCAGGGAGGGTGAGGCCTCCATGGGGGTGTCCATAGTGTGTCATTTCATATAGGGCAGGGCCTAGACCCTTTCCCAAGTGTTCTGGGTGAGAGTGCACCTCACATTGTTCTATTGGAGTCCAAAGTCCGTGTGTATACTTGGGATGGGTACTGATCTGCTGCCCAAGGCTCAATAGATTCCCTAGGCCTCTTCACTGACACCCAGATTCAGGGGGTCTTGATCAGTCCCATGCTGGCTTCCCAGGCTAATGCCTGGGATTCAAGAGTTAACCTTTGTCTGGTCAGCTGTTTCTGGGGGTTAAACCAGCCCAGTCTTCATCCCTTTGATCATCAGTCCTCCCTCTCTGTTACTGGCTTTCTTGAGTTCAGCTCAGTACTTAACCAAGGGAGTCTGCCTCTTCTTCGATCAGCCACTAGATGGGTGAACAATAAATATTTGATTCATGTAAGTATCTATCTATGCTTATTTTAGACAACTCTCTCTTTTGTTAGTATCTGTAATGTATCATTTTATATCATTTACATGTCTCATGTCACCTTTATAACATTTTTAGGGATGAGATTATTAATATAAAGTTTCCAAATATGTTTATACTTTCAGGACTACTACTCATACACTCCATAAAATAATTAAATGCATGAGCAAATTTTGTTGCCATTTTAAGGGTTATAATTGAAATTTGAATAATTTTAAATGGACACATTTTATTACTATTCTTATAAATTTTTACTTTTTTTATGTAGCTGCTGCTTAAAAGTCACACTGACATAAGTATTGTCTATCATCATTGATACATGTTTTCTAAAATGTGGTTACAATAAGGACATTCGCAGGCCTCTGAGCTTGATCTGTGTTACTGTGCCCATTTTCTGTCACAGGATACAGAAGTACCTTAGTTTGTTCTGTGGCAATGAATACTACATGAGCAAGCAGACATTGCTGAATATTTGATAGTACAAACTAGATATTTTTTTAAATTAACTTTTATTTTGAATGATTTAATTGAGTAAACTTCCCAAGGGTATAGGTGATAAGAATTATTCAATTAACATATGTTTTGTCTTCCTTTTACTGTCTCAATTTCATCTTCTTGATATAATGAAGTTATATAGAGCAGGAAGTCTGAGGGAGTGTCATACACTTATTTGTGGGCAAAGGACACATGTTTAGGTTTTTGTTAGTGCTGGTTTAGTAAAGTATCCTTCATTCCTTATCAAACTTCTCTTTTCAAAAGACAGGGACCAATAGAGAAAGCTACAACTAAAGGCGATACAGAGCTGTGGAGTCCAGTCCAGAGAGACACAGCTACAAAACATTCACATACCTCAGGCTTAAGGAAAAATTTTAAGAATAGGTGAAAAGATTGTAAGATCTGAGTTTCATAGAGTTGGATGACTATGTTTCCTAGTAACATCTAATATTTATACATAAATTCTTCCAACAAGGTCACCTAAACTTGATCTGAAAAAGGGTGACTCCAAAAGACATGTGCCAGCATGGACAGGGATAAAATCCAAAAGTCATTGATCCCACACAAGAACTACAGACAAGTAGAGAATGGTGAGATTGGGAGAAATAGTTTTCCCTAGGGAAAAGCACACAAATATGTTGTCCAATACCAAACGCTCATCCCTGAAAACATATATGCATTACCCAGACTGAAAAAATTATAAGCATCTGTGTATGTGTGTGAATTTATGAAAGAATATATGTATATCCATCTACAAAGAGTCATGTAATAACACAGAACATAAAGGAAAGACATGAATATGAAAGACAGTAAGGAATGGTATATGGGAGAGTTTAGAATGAAGAGAAGTAAGGGAAAATGTAATTATATTATAATTTCAAAAATAAATGTGTACTGCATATTACAATGTGTGTATTTAATCACTGTGACTGTCCAAATCCTTTTTTTATTTTTTAACATATAAGAAGACTAGGAAAATTTTAGACACTGTTGGAGGATGTACAGATGGAAGTAGGAGTAGAGTGTCATCCATCTCACACCTTAGCAGTATCTTCTGATACTCTGACTGCATTCATGACATGATTTGCTGTTCTCTTAAGTACCAATTGAGAGACATCATTAGCAAGTTCAAACACAGAAATATCACCTGGAGCTTTTAGAACCTTAAGTAATGTGCTTCATGACACATAGCAAACAGCAAATTCTACATTGGGTGGGTTTGCAAGAGTCAGAAGCTGGTTTTCTGACTCATTTCTCTCCATTTTCTTTCCAGCTTTAGCCTTTGGCTGGGCTAGCCAGACCCTGCATCATGTATTGGTATACTTTCCTTTATGATAAATAGGTATTTGCTTAAGCTATGATCATTTGAAGTTTGTTTTATCCTCCTGTTTCTTGGAGATTATTTATGAAAGGTTTTGGAATTTATAGTTGGTGGAAATGAATGGAAAATCTGTGGGTAAAGCATTTTACTAGTTACTTAATAGCAATGTAATGGTGCAATTGCTAAAAGAAACATTGCTAAACTTTCAAGTCTGACATATAATTATAATCTTAGGAGCTAACCACTTACATTACACCTGTACATTTCTTCTTAACCACATGTAGCTATTTCCTTTTCCATGTATGGAGAGCTCTACATTTTAATTATTGAATAATTTATCTCTGCCTCAATGTGGTTGATTTTCAACTATCATACTGAAAATTATCCTGTTTTTTTGTATTAGTGAGATCAAAGCACTGAGATACATTTTGGGACTGGCCTTTATAAATTGTTGGTGTCTACAAAATTGTAAACTTGATTGAAGCAAATGTTTACCACTGTTAACAAATTACATGCTCTCTATTGAGCATTCACCTTTTCCATAGAAGCCATGCAGAACCAGAGTTTTGTGACTGAGTTTGTCTTTCTGGGACTTTCACAGAATCCAAATATTCAAATATTAATGTTCATCATATGTTTCCTTGTTTACATTGCAACTTTTGGAAGCAACATGATGATTGTGGTAACTATTGTCTGCAGCCCTAAATTGTTGAACTCACCCATGTATTTCTTTCTGGTTTTCCTATCATTCCTGGATGCAAGCTTCTCTTCTGCCATGACACCAAAGATGACTGTGGATTCTCTCTACAAGAGAAAAATTATCTCCTTTGAAGGATGCATGATACAACTGTTTGCTGCACACTTCTTTGGTGGGGCTGAGATGATTGTCCTTACAGCCATGGCCTATGATCGTTATGTGGCCATTTGCAAGCCCTTACACTACTCTTCTATTATGACATGGAGGCTCTGTGTTACTCTGGTGGGGGTAGCCTGGGCAGGAGGATTCTTACATTCTACTGTACAAATTATCTTCACTTTGCAGCTGCCCTTCTGTGGACCCAATGTCATTGACCACTTCATGTGTGACTTGTTCCCCTTACTGAAGCTTGCTTGCACTGACACTCATATCTTTAGCATTTTGGTGGTTGCCAACAGTGGGTTTATCTGCATCTTAGTCTTTTTCTTGTTATTTGTCTCATATGGTTTTATCTTGCTCTCTCTGAGATTCCACAGTTCTGAAGGGCGATGGAAAGCTCTGTCTACTTGTGGATCCCATATTGCAGTGGTGGTTTTGTTCTTTGCTCCATGTATATTTATATATGCAAGGCCTCACACTGGCTCCTCATTTGACAAAATGATAGCATTATTTTATACTATGCTGTCTCCCTTACTCAATCCTATGATTTATACTTTTAGGAACAAAGACATGAAAAATGCCATGAGGGAATTGTGGAAGAAATTGATAATGGTTTCAGATGAAAAATAAAAAAAATCATTACATTTTTATCAAAATTACTATAAAGTGTAAAAAATCAAAATCATTGCAAAGGCTAGAGTATATATATTATCTGCAATGAGTTAATGCAATTCTCCATAACTACCGTTATTTTGGGTGTTAGAGTATGTTACTTTTCTTTTTATATCTGTCATGTCCCCTGCATTGCAAATAACCACCTGTAAATTAAAGAGAATTGTATTTTATACATAAAATCTCTTAATAAAATAATGCAATGAATTAGTGTTGTTTATTGATGCTTTCAAAATTCTAAAAGAAATTAAAGATGTCATAGACATTTATGTAGTCATAAATAAGAATAAAACTATATTGTTTGCAAGAAAATGGATGGCACATTGGAAGAATATATTAAGAAAAATAAGCCACTTCACAACTCAAACACCCATTTTATGTTTTATCTGATATGTGACAGAGAAAGGGAAATAAGAACCAGAACTGGTAGGTAAATACATGAAAGCAATTTTTTCCAGACATAAAACAGCAGATACATATATGAACTCAGAAGATAAACAGCAGACACAGGGCTTGCACAAAATCAAACCACACAGAATTCAAGCACAGAGAAGGGGAAGTAGGTATAAAGTCTCATACCTAACCAAGAAGCTGTTTGCAAGAGAATATCACTTTTCCTCAGAGGAGCAACACAAAGCATACTGACCACATGTTAGTGAAGTACCATGCTTCGAAGTAATTAAACAACACAAAATGGGACTCCATGTATATTTTTATATAGTTTAAACATTGTTTTTGTAATATTTTCTTATTGTTCTTTTTTGTTTGCTTTTCTTTTTTCTTGAGAGATAAGATAAAGAGGGAAAGATAAATAAGTTGCGTGGGTAGGGAGGTGGGGAGGATCTGTGAGGAGTTGGAGGAAGAGAAAAATTTGATCAAAATATTTCGCATAAATATAATGAAAAGGTAAAACTAGGAAAACTTAGTTCCAAAAGAAGCTTTCATGTCATGTTTTTTCAAATGAGTGGAATTAGGAGATGCAGAAAGAAGAGCAGTCATACGACTTCATCTCTAGTGTTTTGGTATCACATGACTTCAGTGAATTTTAGTTGATGTTAATTAGCTACTTTTTTCTTTTTTCTTTTTTTCCTACTTTTGTGTGTCTGTTCATCTACTTGTCAAGCTCTCCTGAAATTGATATCATTTTTTAAGTTATTGAGATTATAATTTGTAAGTTGGTTATAAAATCCCTGCCTTAGTTTCCCCTTCTCTATACTCTCCCATATAACTCTCACTGTTGTGCTTCAAATTCACACTCCTTTATTTCACTTCTTTTGTTTTCTTTTTGCCATTACTAATGAATTAGAAGTCAGAGGATTTAAAGAAAGTTCAAACTTGAACCAGGTTTACATTATAAGTTTACTTTAATTTAATAGGTAGACACCCAGGGCTACATTTTTATGTTTTAATAGTAAAGCATTTGTGAACTTGTCATGGTGATTTTCGTAATGTTTGAAATGTACTCAAATACCAATAAATACCCATACATCACACACACACACATACATATACACACACACACACACACACACACACACACACACTTATATGTTCTTCACATATTCCTAATAAAAATTTTTCTTTAAAGACAATTCTCGATATAGTATTTTCAAAATAAGATATACACTTTCCTTGCAGATTAACAGCAGAATTCATCATTACAGAAATCAGCTCTTATGTTGGTGGGTACAAAGCATTTTGCTTTAATTCTACAGAGATACTGAATCTCATCCATTACATAATAGAGTCTGTCCTCAAACACCATGCTATATTATAACATTGTCAAACAGAAATCCAAGAACACTTAGAAAGAAAAGAAATAATATCTGGAGGGAGCATAAATTTATAGCTTTTTAAAGAGACAAGAATGTTTCAAACTAAAGAAAATATAATACTTTTCTTTGTAGAATAATTCAAAATTTGTGGAAAAATATAAAGGAAACAGGGCAAAGATCAATAAGCTGGGGGTACAGGGAAACACACTTCCTAATGTCACTGCTCTAGGAGATGGCTCAGGACCAGAGTTCCTGTTGTGTGGAATTACTATTTCACATTATTTATCAAAATTTTAAATGTTGATGTCCCTCAATAACTGATTTTCTAAGTATTTTAAGAAGTTTGAAGTCTCAAATTATTTCTACGACTTCTTTTTTATAAAGTATGCTGTTGACAAAGTGTATAACTTTGTACTATTCATTCAGACAAATTATTTTTAAATACTTTGGAGTAACAGCAACATACCTAAGAATATTTTTTATTGCAAGACATTAATTGTACACTCAGTGCTAGAAATGAGAATTATACGCTCAGGTAAACTGGAGAGACACTATGCTGGAAAGTATATTCCTGTAAATAGTGGTCATTTTCTGCTGTAAATGAAGCTACAGATTCACAGTTCTGCTCCATAGCATCATCAGTGGTCTCTGGGTTGGAAATTCTTCTTAAGACACATCATCTTTCTACTGATATTCACTAACGTTTAGCACAAGTTTTTGACAATTTTCTCTTATTTGGAGAAAAGAACAAAGATTTCTGGAAGCGAGGTCTATTACAAATGCTATCCTCCCTTCTCGGTCATCTTACAAGTGGCAGTTCAGGAACTCTGAAACTCCTTGACTCAGTGCACTCTGCCTTACTATAGTCCCACTCTAATTGTTCACCAAGGGTCCTTACTGTATGGTTTTTACAGCCATTGTTTATTATCCTTTTTAGATATCTCTAATCTTCTTACTGTCAAAGCTTTTGCTCTGCATTCGATGGCTGTAGATGACTTCTGCTCCCTGAAGTACAAAAACAAAACATTCTTTCTCAAATATCTGCTTAGTAGTTTAGGAAAAGAAATGGAGTATGGTGCCCACACAGGAAAGACATCAGCCCTTCCAGGCCCCAACCTCCGGCGATCCCAGCTTCTGGTGAGCTTGGGTTTCTGGGGGGGGGTAACCCCCATCCCCTGCCCAACACCCATCCCCTTGATCATCCTGGGGCCGATCCTGGCATCCAGAAGACCCAGCCACACAGGAAAGGCATCAGCACTTCCAGGCCCTAACCTCCAGCGATCCCAGCTTCAGGAAAGGCATAAGCCCTTCCAGGCCCCAAACTCCGGCAACCACAGCTTCAGCTTCAAGAAGAAGGAGACCAGTGGAGATGAAAAGACCCCACCTGCACCCACTGGAAAAAGAGATGGGAAGAAGACAGAATAAGAGCATACTCAGCAATAGAAAGACCAATATAACTCCACCAGAATCTACAAATCCAATGTCATCAAGACCTGAAAAGCAGTACATAGATGAAGCAGAAGAGACAGACCTTAAAAATTATTTTATGAAGATGATAGAGAGCCTCAAAGAGGAAATGAGGAAATCCCTTAAAAATAGAAGAAAAAACAAACAAATAATCTATGAAATGGGGGAAAATTTTCAAGAATAAACAAATCACTTAAAGAATCTAAAGAGAACCAAGAAAAAAAAACAAACACAAATGAAGGAAACAACTCAAACAGCTGAAGGATTGAAAGCTGAAATAGAAACAATAAAGAAAACAGAACGAGGGCATGCTGGAAATAGAAAAGTTGGGTAAATGATCAGGAACAACAGATGCAAGTATCACCAATAGAATACAAGAGATAGAAGAGAGAATCTCAGGTGTTGAAGACTCATTAGAGGATATACATTCATTTACCAAAGAAAATATCAAAACCAACAAATCCCTAACACAAAATATCCAGGAAATATGAGACACCGTGAAGAAGCCAAACCTGAGAATAATAGGTATTGAAGAAGGTGAAGAAATACACCTCAAAGGTACAGAAAACATATGCAACAAAATCATAGAAGAAAACTTCCCTAACCTAAAGAAGGATATGCCTATGAAATTACAAGAATCTTACAGAACACCAAATAGACTGGACCAGAAAATAAGTCACCTTGTGATATATAATGAAAACATCAAATCTACAGATTAAAGAGAAAATATTAAGAGCAGCTAAAGAAAAAGGCCAAGTAACATATAAAGGCAGACCTAATCAAATTACACCTGACTTCTCAATGGAAACTATGAAAGCCAGAAGATCCTGGACAGATGTCCTACAAAAAATATTCCATGACAAAGCCAGATTTAAACAATACGTATCCATGAATCCAGCTCTACAGAAAGTGCTAGAAGGAAAACTTAGACCCAATGAAGATAACTACACTCACAAAGAAACAGGCAATAGATAATCTCACTTTACCAAACACCAAAAGAAAAAGGGAGGAGAACCTACAAAAAATAACTCCACTACCAATAAATCAAGCACAAACAAGAATTATCAATCAATGGTCATTAATATCTCTCAACATTAATGGCCTTAACACATCCATAAAAATTCACAGGCTAGCAGAATGGATTCAAAGACAGAACCCATCCTTCTGCTGCATACAAGAAATGCATCTCAACATCAAATACAGACGTAAACTCAGAGTAAAGGGTCGGGAAAAGATTTTCCAATCAAACAGACCCAAGAAACAAGTGGGTGTAGCAATCCTAATATCTAACAAAATAGACTTCAAATTAAATCAATCAAAAGTGATGAAGAAGGACATTTCATATTCATCAAAGGAAAAGTCCATCAAGATGAAGTCTCAATTTTGAACATCTATGCCCCAAATACAAAGGCACCTACCTTTGTGAAAGAAACATTACTAAAGCTCAAATCATACATAAAATCTCACACACTAATAGTAGTAGACTTCAACACTCTGCTCTCACCACTAGACAGGACCTCCAGACAGAAACTTAACAAAGAAACAAAAGAACTAATAGAAGTTATGATCCAACTGGGTTTAACAGATATCTATAGAACATTCCACCCAAACACAAAGGGATATACCTTCATCTCAGCACCACACGGAACCTTCTCTAAAATTGATCACATAATAGAAAACATAGCAAATCTCCACAGATACAAAAAAATTGGAATA